AGCATGTGACCACATACTTCTGGTTAGGGTTTTCATACCCTCATGCCAGGTCTCAGCTTGACCACCTTTGACTTTCTTCTACCTAACTACCTGTCTCAACAAACATCGCTCGCCGTTAGGCGGATATCCACAATGCCGCGCTATGAGAATTAAATGTAAATGATAGATCAAAACAACATTTACAATTTATTTCATTATTTTTTGTTTCAGGTTCTCAATACGTTTTGATATGCTGAATATGTTAAATGGAGTTTATTACACACATCTGTCTAGGAATTATGGGAAAGAAAACACAGTTTTGTTTCCGANTGTTTCCGAAATCTGATTGAATATACGGTTTTCAAAACAGTCCCTCCGGGACTCTAATAAGACTCTAAAGGGACGTTGAATCAAGCTATCGTCCCAAAAGGACTACAATGAAACGGAAAACCGCCCCATATACTGGCAGGGTAAGTTGCCTACCACAATTGGTATGCATCTTCAGAATGATGAAAACAGTAGGAGCGATAAACTCACCTTAAAATGTCTGAGTTAATTCACAGGTTCAAATCTATGCTCAATAGTCCCTGGCCTGGATTGTTTTATTTTCGCGTTTCAGCTATCCAGAAGGAGATAAAATGGACCCAGCCCCCTCAAAGAAGCAGGTGAAAATCACCCATCTCGATTACGAGAAAAGAATCGCTTCACAAAACTCAGCATACAAATTACTGTTCTGCGGGCCTTTCAGTGAAGATAAAAGAAACAAAATGTTATTGATCCAGAAACCCAATACTTTGTGTTTTCGGGTCATGCTGAATGGAATACTGCTGGTAATCCGATACGTTGTGGTTGATACTCTCCGAGAGATTGTGTTGATTTTCATCATTGACTGGAAGTCAGTAATTTGGTGATAGATACACCGCTGTCTATATCAAATTGAACGAGTCTGGTGGGGAGACCGGGCAAGCAATGCTGAAGTTAGACTCAGAGTTTAGGTAATCGCGGTCATCCACTGGAACAAGTGGGCGATCTCCATAGATTAAAGTGGTTGGGACCTATGTTGCACATGTCACGAAATAGGTTTACCGTGGAAGGAGGCTGTTGGATAAAGGTCAAGGGCGTGAGAGTAGGAAAACAATAACCATGACACTGGGTCATTTCTGTTCGGTTTAGTTTTTACAACCATCAACCATCCACTTTTGTGCGTCAGTTTTGGTTGTTGCTTTTGGTGCCCCATTCGGATGAAAGAGTAGAATAAAGATTGGAATGCTGAAAGCAAGTTCAAGCAAAAGATGGAGAATTCATAAAGAATGGTGTTAGGGGAATAATGTGTGGTTCCACGAGCGCCACTCAGTGTCTCTAACCAACGGTGACAATCATCCCGCAATCCCCGGCCAGGGAGCCTAACCGGGTCTATGTGACCTCGTCTCCCGGTTAGGTTTTTCATACCCTCATACCAGGTCTTCGTTTGAACACCCTTGGCCTTTTTCCAACCGATACCTGCATCGGTAAACATCGCTCGCAGTGGCAACCTATATGGTGACATGCGTAAAACATGCCCCAATCAACGTAATTTATGGAGATCGATCACTTGCTTCAGTGGATGACCGCGGCTGACTAAAACTGGGCCACGTAGATTCCGTTAGGCTGCCTGGATGGAGACCATGATATCATGGCAATCGGTGAATAGAGACATGAAGTGACAAGTCTGGGTGTCACAAACGATGGCGCTCGTTTGTCTGCTCATTACTATTAGAGCAGCAGTCTTATCTATCTTCTCCTTGATTCTGCTCTGATATCCAACTGAGCAGAAAAAAGACAGCAACCGAATAAGCCACAGAAAAGTGCGTGGTTAATGATTGCACAAACTAAAGATGAACGTTCAAGTAAGAAAACACAGTGGGATGTTCCCTAAAATGAAATAACTACACAAATGCTATTTTAATGTTTGGATACATCCACTGAATTGCTAAAGGTACTCATATGTTCTTGCTGCTAATTTCAAGATTTTTAGATTTTTTTAATTTGCAACGCCCTCTACATCAGTAAACTTTGGTATACATATCTCCATCATACTTTCATTTTTATTCAAGGCGGAAGGGCACCATTCGCTCAAAGTACCAGGATTATTGGCTATAAAATTTAGCTCAATGGCTGGACATAAGAAGCTGGATATTACTGGACGGGCCATAATTGGTCAAACGGGAACAATACCTTTCCAATACAATCGCTTCACAGATGAGCTGAATTCGGTAAGCAAAGAACAAGAAAAGGTTTGGAACGAAGGAAATGGGAAAATTCTTCGCTCACAAATATTTATTCAATAATTATTTTTCCGTTCAGAAACCATTCATGGATCACGAGGCCCTATATCCGCCTAATTATACACAGCTGGAGAATCTTTTGCGCGTATTCTCAGAGAGAAATGGTGAGTCATTTTCACTTCAGCTCATTTGGTATCAGTATTCTCTGCCAGTGTACGACCGAAAAAACATTTAGATCAGAAAAAATCTGTCTTTGGGCTAAATCAAATCGGTGTGCACTTGCGTATTTTATTTTGATAACTTGCGGACTTATAAATATTATATTCACTTTTTTAGTTCTACCAACTCCGTTTACGATTGCAAAACTTGTTGCTACCGCACTCCAAAGTCCGCGGAACTTTCGTTGTTTGAGCATCGGGGTGTTTATAATGTCCCCTGTGTGTTATGCATGAATCAGATAAGCATTACTCAGATAAGATGAAAGATGGTAAACGTATTTTCTCCCTTCAAAGACTGGGACTAGTGAAGTGTGTTGCGCATGTATTTGGGAGAGCAAGATACAATACTACTACCAGCCTAAAACAGGTGAGGTGGCATCAAAAATGAAGAGATGAACACAAAGAAGCAGAAATACACGGCATTTTTGTCATTGCTTTACATAAATCAGGCACTGACGAAAGGGTTACTAATAACTAATTAATTTTACAATATGGATCATGTAAGACATCCAGGATATGGCTTGAAAGATTCAGCAAAAACGTGGTTGAAAACACCATAACGGTAGTGACCGAAGTGATATTCCGTCGTCGTTGGTGTCTTCACACTCCACCGCCACCGCCATTCATGTATGTAATTCTTCATGCAGACTGATGGCTTTCGATTAAATGCATAGTACTTCCTGATTATCGAGGTAAATCAAATAGACCGCTTATTTTCTATTACCGTCAAAGGTTATTTATGTATAACAGACGCCTAAGGCTGTTTACTTTCACCGTTCGTCTAGTTGCTATCTTTCACACGAGATATAATTTAGAGAAGTTTTTATTTATCTAGTTTTATATGTGAGCTAACGTGAAAGGCAACTCAAAAGTAAAACGTCCACTGTTCAAAACTAACAGATGAACAAAGAGAAATAAATAGATCAAAGTCAGCAAATAAAATCTCAACAGTTTGAATATTCACCATTTGGGTCAAGGGACACATTAAACGCTCCGATACACACACACACACACACAAATGCCCTTCCCTCCGACTCCGATTAATGATCTTTAATTGAGCTAACGACTGTCATTGTGTAAGCATTTTTCCACGGTATAATATGTAAGAGAATGACTAATAATATCCGAGTTCGCTCATCGACTCATTTTATATAGAAATCTACCAACTTGGGTGGCATATTTGCGCACTAATACAAGTTGCTAAGGTTTGTGTATGTATTACAACTGCCAAGGAAAGGGCTTTCTAAGTACACTAGGTTTGTTGGGTAAGCTGTTTTTTGAAAAAATCTCAAGGTATTTCTTCTATGATCTGACGTCAAATCCCTAGCCAAGAGACATCTTCACATAGGTGACACTAAAATTCCTGTTTGGGAACGCCGTGGCAAACAGAATCAACGCTTATAAACATAGTTATCTGATCAGGTATCATAAATACCCAATTTGCTCCTTTTCTATAAAAATCTAGTTTATTTGCATAACGTTTTCTTATTCTTACTTAGGTAGAGTAAGTATTCCAGGTTGGGGTCCAAAATACTCCGTAACCGCATGGTTGGAGACAATGAGGATCGTGGCTGCGAACAGCAATGACGATCATGCTGTCACTTATCAGACCAGAATGCTTGAAATAGTATGTATGCACAGCTGAACTGTTTACTCCGTGTGTTGACCATAGCGTTTTGCTTTATTTTTCCGTTCCTAAAAACAGGTCCAATCCCTGTCCTTCTTACATATTCTCGCTAACCTTGTATGCAATGAGTTTGGCAGCAATCAGTGAAATTCACTTCACTGTATTACGCCGTACAATAATGATGATGATTCTTGTACCACTGGCTGCTTTTCCCTCCCACCAGCGGCAAAGAGACAGCAATCGGAACCAAAGCATGAAATAGCAAGCCTATTGTTTATTTTTAAACTGAAATTAATCTATGTAACTGTATCAGTTGTATAAAAAGAAAACTATATCCCGTACAAGACACCCCTTGATAATCACCGTAGTAGATCACTATAGTAATATTCTATATCGGTACATTAGAATGATCACAGTAGTAGGCATCTTAGATAAATTGTGGGACATTTTACCACATAAATAACTCCCAATGTCCCGTAATATCATTTTTTTATTTTAGCCTCTTTTTTGTTCTACTCCCTTTACCTAGTAACTTTCAGCATGGCTGACTCAAAAACCATAGCATCATTCGGCGAGAGACTTGGTAACCCATACGGGATTGAACTAAAGCTTGATCTGCCAAAGCAGAAAATTATGTATCCTTTTCAAAAACTTGCATTATAGGAAAAAAACGTTTACTGAGAAAACATGCAATAGTCATAGTTCACACCAAACTGTTCCGTTGTCGATGAAGGAAAGATAATCACGGATAATCACATCGTCCGATTGCGGCATTTGCTGAAATGAGGCACTTATGCCATTGAGCGGAAAACTGAGAGTTAGACAAAGTGAAAGTTTTATTATGGGCACTACTTACAACCAGATGCTTCCCTTGTCTCATAAGGTGTTTACACGAGTTAAATTGTAACAATGATGAACAAAATTCCATATGATGTATTCGGTTGTGTGTGATCACGGATGTTGGAATGTAAGGTGTTTTATTGATCCGTCAAGTTTTACCTTGAAAGAATCAATCGTCTTGGCACAAACGACATAAGATAGTAAGGAATTCCAGGCAGTACACACTCTGATGGTGAAGAAATGACGCCGACAATCCAGTCGAGATTTTTGGGGTAGTAACTTGAATGGATATCCCCGTAGATGAACGTTTGATGACCACGTCAAACGTGGGCGACAAGGTTGGTTTGGGTTGTGTAATATTTGGTACACTAACAGCAAGTCTCCTCGAATCCGACGATACTGAGCAGAATATAGGCCCAATGATTGAAGTCTCCCCATGTATGAACCATAATAGAGTCCTCTGACCATCTTCGTGGCGAGCCTTTGTGGACGCTCCAAAATCTTAT